GAATCCTCTGAGGTCTCTGTTGGTGTTGAGGTCTCGCTGAATGAGACCTGTGAGACCTCATGGGATCTCTGTTGGTGTTGAGGCTGCAACAGAGACCTCATGAGGTCTCTGTTGAATGTGCACTTCTCGCCGAGAGCACCTGCGCGGAGAGAGGGGGGTGCAGCTGACCGCCGCAAAGTACCATTTACATAGCGTGAGCCAGCAGCAGGATGCGCCCCTTGGGGGGGGGGGGGGGGGGAGATAACCGCCGCCGGGGACCATTAACACCGTGGGGGGTCGCAGTAACTTGCCGCCGAGAGTGGTGGGGGGGCTGATCGCCGCTATGGCGTCTCTTTTATCTCCTCGGGGGCCGCAGCTACTCGCCGCTGAGATCCTGGGGGTCGCAGCTGCTCGCCGCGAGCACCTGCGCGGAAGGACGGGGGGGGGGGGGCGCATACGTCGCGGGCGCCAACTTAGCACACCGCATCCCGGCAATGCGCCGGAGCCTGTGGATCACGATTGCAATGGCGGTGCCGCCTCCGCTGAACCGACAGCACCGGGATGCAAGAGTACCTGGGTCCCAGGGCGGGCCCGAGACCAGCAGCAGACACCCCGGGGAGGACAGCGCCAGGATGCAAGAGCCCCAGGGGAACCCGCGGGACACGCACCCAGACCCCGCTGCAGTCACAGAACACGTTGGTCACCTGCCGCCATGCTGGGCGGGGGGGAGCTGCAGCCAGTGCGCGCCCTCCACGCACCTGCTCTCGGCGCAGCAACTGGCAACAGCGGGCGCTGCGAAGACGAAGCGTGCACGGGGGGTGGCGAAGGGCGGCCCTTGGCTGCCAGGGCAGGGGTGCGAGGGTGCCTCGAGCCCCCGTGAGAGGCCCCGAGCCCGTGGCCCAAGCAAGCCCCTGCATGCGCCCAGGGTGGCTGAGCCCGGCGGCGGTCCCTTTCGCTGACTCCGTCGAGCGGGAACAGCACTTGCAGCCATTGTCAATTCTGGCGGTCTGAAGCGAGGGGGGCCGCATCTAGCCGCCGCTGAGGTCGCTGCTGAGTGTGTGCGAACGGGTGATGGCCCACCGAGGCCGCGGTCCACTGCGGACGGGCGACGGCCCGCCAGGGCCGCGGGCGACGCTGAATGTGGGCCAGCAGCGAGCTGCGCCTCCAGGGGAGGGCCCTGGGGAGCCGCAGCTTCTCGCCCCTGGAGCTGAAGCTGCCAAAACTAAGGCCTGAACCGACAGGCTGGTAGGCTGGCGCGCAGGGGGGGGTTGCTTCTGCCGACGCCCCCCCGCCACCGAATATCGCCGCTATGATCTCTATTGAGGGCAGGGGTCCGGTTGCGGTTCCTTCCGTTGACGGGGGGTTGCAGCTGACCACCGCGCATCGCAATTTGATGGTGACAGTGGGCGCTGTGAAGACGACGACGTCCCTCCGTCACGGAATATGGCCACTATGATCTGTATTGAGGGCAGGAGTCCGGTTGCGGTTCCTTTCGTTGACAGGGGGTTGCAGCTGACCGCCGCGCATCACAATTTCATGGTCGGTGTGTCCCCTGAACCCAGCGCTGCCACTGACGACGTGGGCACCATCTTGGCATCCCACATCCCGGCAATGCGTCGGGGCCTGTGGGTTGCGATTGAATGGGTGGAGCCACCGCCACCGCTGAACCGGCAGCACCGGGATGCAAGAGTACCTGAGCCCCAGAGGGCGGACCCGAGACCAGCAGCAGACACCCCGGGGAGGCCGGCGCCAGGATGCAAGGGCCCCAGGAGAACCCACGGGACAGCACGCTCCGATCACACTGCAATCGCAGATCACGATGGCCGCCTGCCGCAGCGCAGGGCGGGGAGGAGCTGCAGCCAGCGCGCGCCCTTCACGCGCCTGCTCTCAGCGCAGCACCTGGTGACAGCGGGCGCTGCGAAGACGAAGCGAGCACGGGGGGGGGCGAAGGGCGGCCCTCGGCAGCCAGAGCAGGGATGCGAGAGTGCCTCGAGCCCCCGTGAAAGGCCCCGAGCCCGCGGTCCAGGCAGCCCCGGCGTGCGTCCAGGGTCGCCGAGCCCGGTGGCGGTCCCTTTCGTTGACTCGGGGCTCGCAGCTGACCGCCGCATAACACGATTTGACGGGAAGTGTGTCTGCGAGAGCCCCACCTATGATTGGATAGTGCCTCCGCCTCTGCTCTCAGCGCTGCAACTGATGACAGTGGGCGCCGTGAAGACGAAGCGTGCGCGGGGGGGGGGGGGGGCGAAGGATGGCCCTTGGCTGCCAGAGCTGGGATGCGAGAGTGCTCCAGAGACACGGGTGAAGGCTCGTGCCACTTCCGCACCTTCAGAGGCTTCCGCCGCTTCGGGCCCCCGGCACTCCGCGGCCACCGCAGCCTCCGCCGACTCCGCCGTGGCCTCCCTCTCCTTTTCTCTGCCCTGCTGCTGCTGCAGAGGGAGCAAGGGTACCTCTGAATCTTCTCGTGGGTTCAGCTGGCTCCCAGAGGAGCCCAGGAGGCGGTCAAGGAGCAGGGGTGACTCTTCTGGTCGCCAGAGAGGGTACTTTGAGGTCTCGTGGGTCTCTCGTCCCCGGGGTGGGTCTGCTGTTGGGGCCGCTGTTGCTGCTGCTGCTGCTGCTGTTGCTGCTGCTGCGGCTGCGGCTGCAGGTGCTGCTGCTGCTGCTGCTGCTGCCGCTGCGGCTGCTGTTGCTGATGCTGCAGCTGCTGGGTTCCAGGGGTGTCCTGCTGCTGCTGCTGCTGCTGCTGCTGCTGCAACTGCATCTGCTGCTGCTGCTGCTGCTGCTGCCGCGACTGCTGCTGCTGCTGCTGCTGCTGCTGCTGCTGCTGCTGCTGCTGCTGCTGCCGGCTTCCAGGGGTGCCCTGCTGGCGCTGCTGTTGAGGGGCGGTCGGGCTTTTGCTGCTGCGGCGGCTGTTGCTGTTGCTGCTGCTGATGCTGCTGCTACTGCTGCTGTTGCTGCTGCTCCTGCAGCTGCCATGCTGCTGCTGCGGCAGGACATGGGGGGGCGCCGAGGGCGGCAGCGGCGGCCGCCGCAGCCGCCGCGCCAGCGGCCTCGCCGCAGGCAGCCGCAGGGGCGGCCGCGGCGGCGCGGGCCTCCGAGCCCACCGCCGCCGCCGCCGGCGGGGAGCTGGCAGCGGCGACAGCAGCGGCCGCCGCGACAGCGGCCGCCGCGCCGGCCACGGCGCCGCCGGCCGCCGTCGCCACCTGAGGGGATCCGGCGGCGGCGCCAGTCGCCGCGGGCGGCGGCGGGCCGCCGCGCGGGAGAGGGCGGCCGCCGCGGCGGCGGCCTCGGCGGCAGCGCCTGCGGCGTCGGCGGCGCCGGCAGCGCGCACGGCAGCCGCGGCGCCTGCGGCGCCAGCGTCTCCGCGCCCACGGCGCCAGTGTCCCGGCGCGTCTTGGGCGTCCTCGGCGGCAGCGCCCGCGGCGCTGGCGGCGCCAGCGGCGGCCGCGGCGCCCGCGGCGCCGGCGGCAACCGCGGCGCCGCCGCGCCCGCGGCTCCAGCGGCGCCCGCGCGGCAGCGGCGGCAGCAGCGCCGGCGGCCCGCGGCTCCAGCGGCGCCCGCGGCGTCGGCGGCGCCCGCGGCGCCCGCGGACCCGCCGGCAGCGGCGGCGCCAGCGGCGCGCTCGGCGCCCGCGGCGCTGGCGGCACCAGCGGCGCCGCGGGCGTGGCAGCGGCGGCGCCCGCGGCGCCCGCGCGCGGCAGCGCCAGCGGCGCCGGCGGTGCCCGCGGCGCCCGCGGCGACCCCGGCGCCAGCGGCGCCCTAGCGGCGCTGGACGGCCGCGCGCATCTGCCGGCGCCGCCGCGCCGCCGCGGGCTCCATCACCCGGGCCCGAGCGCCGAACCTGAACAAGGGCGGGCTCGAGCCGAGACGGCTTGAGCCAGAGGCTACGGATGATGGAGATTTTTAAAAATGATGATTATTATTATGATTTATTATTATTAATATTATTATTATTATTATTATTATTAGGCGGCTCCAAGGAAGACCCCAGGGAGCAGTCACAACGTCCGGGCCACGGCGCATTGTAAATTGGCGATCCGGCCGCCACTGTAGCAAGCACGCTCGCAGTTGCACATGCACAATACACGTACTATATTAGAGGCAGCTGAGTGTCGCGAAGGCGGCGCGCCAACACAGAAAACCGGGCGAAGTGTGCGAGCAAAACCACTAGGCAGCACCCTGTATGGTGGTGGAGGGCTGGTGGGAGATGATGGGGATACGCGAACCGTCAAGAATTGAGCTAGCTGTATGCGTACATCGCGCAACCATCGGAATGCAAGCACTGATACATCACATTGTAGTACCAAGATCGTGCAAGAAGAACGCATACCTCAAGCTAGGATCCCGATCCCGATCCCGTGCTAACAGTCCGAACTCCGACAAGTTGACCCTCGGCCCCTTTCTTAAGAAGCGTGCAACAATCGTGCGAGCATGCTCGCGTGAACAATGGCAAAAAGGGCTTCAGCCATCGTCGTGGATGTCGCCGTCGTCGCCGCAATGGTCGTCGTCGTCCTCCTGCTCCTCCCAAGTTCCGCCGTTAGGAGCGGGCATCGGTTCCAGGGAGCCAAATAGAAGACGCACGCGCCCAGGAACCCTCGTTTTACGAACGTTCGCGCAACGTGACCTCTCGAAACCAATGTGAATTCATGTGCGCAGACGTCCTTCTTTCGCTCCTGGAATTGGCTCGGGATACGTTCCAGGAGTTCCAAAGTACAGCATGGGCCCGACCACAAGAAACTTGCCACCAGAAAGCCAACCCTGAGACCCCAGGACGTCTATCGATTTTTGGTGTCAGAACGTCACGCTGTCCATCGCAGAACCATCGAAACCCAAGAAACCCAAGGCATCCTGGAAGCAAGCGGGGTGTTTCTTGGCATGGGTCTCCACTGTACCCAGCGGTCTTCGTTGCCGGAGCCCGTGCGGAAGAAGAGTACGTATGGGACATCTACGACCTCATTCCCATAAACTCTTGCTCCCCTGAGGCTCGACCGAAAAGCCAAGGTGCAGCGCGCGGCTGGGCGCGCCGTAGGGCTCAAGGGACTCCAAATGCTCCCCCACGCAGCGGTCCCACCATTCCTGCGGGGGCAGGACAAGGCGGCGATCGAGGGGGGGAAGTGAGAATGAGATGTCCTTCTCATAAGGCTCGGAGGTCCCCTGGCCTTCTGAGAAGTTTTCTAAGCCTTCCTCGAAGACACAAACAAATTCTCAGAAGGCGCGAGGGCTTCTGAGAAGTCCCGCCACCTTGTGAGAAGGCCTTCTCCTTCTCATTTCCTCCCCCTCGCTCGCCGCCGAGAAAGGTGTACAAAGAGGATGCCGACACTGGACTGCGCTCGCGCCGGTGCCAAGAAGCCCAGGGGAAGGCCTCCCCGAAGGCCCCCCAGGGTTGTGGCACGCGCAGGTCGACGCCATGGCACAGAGCACTGGTGTGTGCCAACTTCAAGACGGCCCCAAGAAGGGTCCAATAGTGGGAGCCCGGACTGACAATCTGAGCCTTCCGTCCCAAAATGCCCCCAGGAGGCCCCAAGAGGCCCCCGGAATGCCCCCAAGGCGCCCCACAACGGTCATCCAAGAGGCATCAAAACTGCCTCCACGAAGTCCCCGAGAGGCTTTCCGCGACATCCCGACAAACATCCTAGAGGACTATGAGCAACAACCAAAAGCACGGTGGCAGGATGGACCGAAAGCCATTCTATCCGCCGCCCCCTGCTTGCAGGGGTGCACGGCGTGCTGGATGTTTCAGGTTTTGGTTTTGGTTCTTTTTCCAAAAGAACTCCCCAGTGGGCTCCGGCCCGTCCCGCCACCGTGCCCAAAAACGGCCGTTTCGCTCGGGACATCCTCAAAAAATCGCGAAGATGGCCCAAGATGGCCTCCAAGTCCGCCCGAGATGGTCCAAGATGGCCTCCAAAACGGCCCAAGAGAGTCCAAGACGGCCCAAGACGGCCCAAGAGGCCCCCCAGAGGCCTCCCAGACGGCCCAAGAGGCCTCCAAGAGGTCCTCCAGGAGAGTCCGAAGAGGGCAAAATCATTGATTTTCCATTGGTTTTTGAAGGATTTTGGCATTTGCGCCTTTTCGGCTCTCCGACGGCTCAAGACGGCCCAAGAAGCCCCCAAGATCGCCCAAGAGGCCCCCAAGAGAGCCCCCTGATGGCCCAAGTGGCCTCCAAGATGGCCCCTAGAGGGCCCCAAGAGGGCCCAAGAGGCCTCCAACACGCCCAAGATGGCCTCCAAGACGCCCAAGATGGCCTCCAAGACGGCCCTGGAGCGCCCCAAGAGGGTCCCCCGTTGGCCCAGAAAGGCCCCCAAAACGGCTCCCGACGGCGTCAGACGTGCCAGGAACCCACCAAGATGGCCGAAGTTGGCTCGAAGCTGGCCCAAAAGGGCCCAAGAGGCCCCCAAGAGGGCCTCCAGGAAGGCCAAAAGATGCCAAAATCACTGATTTTCCCAAGGTTTTTGATGGATTTGGGCATTTCCCTTTTTTCGGCCTTCCGACGGCCCGACACGGCCCAAGAGCCCCCAAAGATCGCCGAAAGATCGCCCAAGAGGCCTCCAAGACGGCGACGATGACCATCAAGACGCTCACGTGTTCCCCGAAGGCTTTCCAAACCGACTCGGGGAACACATGGTCCGATGGCTTGGCAGGTCTGGCCTCAACGTTCGGCCACATAGGCGCTTCCACAAAGGCAGGGGGCGGCGGTGATTCGCCGTAGGCGTCTTCGATAAACATCGATAAATGTCACACGCCAGACAAACAACTCGATCCACACCTACGCGACACCGTGCTAATCATGGGTCATACCGTCATGCGCTTCTCGATATACCCCGTACATTCGCGGTACCATCCCCCAAAATATAACAATTTGAACCTTGCGATGTGGCGATCTGTATCGACCTGACCGTTTGCCCTGAAAACGAATGCCAGAAATAAGCTAACGCGCATCAATCAACCCACGAAACCAAAAAGACACACATTCGCCGGCCCCATTGTGGGGCCACCAAGTTCCGCGGATTCGGTTTGCTGCTCCCTGCTCCAGTTCCAGTTTCAAGTCTCCCATGTCATAGTCCTACTTTCTACTTCCTTCTGTAAGCTGATGAATTCCGCGCGAGGGGGGGTGAGCCCAAAAAGGCCAAATTTACCACGCCCCCCCGGGGGTTCTCAGAATTTCTGAGGGGGGCTGGGATACATAAAAATACGTGAGATCCGCGTGCCTGAAACCGTATTCATACAGTAGTTGTGTCCCCGAGGCCACGATCCCACATAACTTGCACTATATCTGCGTCCTTCAAGCCATGCTCCCTTGTAAATTGCAGAATATTTGCGCCACCGATGCCACGATCCCCGTACATTATGCAATATGCGCGTCCCCAGGCCACCATCCCTTCTACATTGTGCAAAACATTCGCATCCCCGAGGTCACGATCCCTCGCGATTTCAACAAAATGTGCACCCTCGAAGCCGCAACCCCTTCTAAATTATAAAAGATTCGCGTACCCGAGGCCACGATCCCGACTAAATTACGCGATGTCTGCGCCACCATAAATTATGCAATATTCGCTGACCCGAGGCCACGATCCCATGAAAATTGCCTGGTAGGCGCGTCGCCGAGGCAACGATCCATCGTACATTCAATCATCTTTGCGTCCTCGATGCTGGAATCCCTGATATCTTACAAAACGTTCGCATCCCCGAGGTCGCGATCCCTCGCGATTTCAACAACATGTGCACCCTCGAAGCCGCAACCACTTCTAAATTATATAAGATTCGCGTCCCCGAGGCCACGATACCCCGTAAGTTACGCGATGCTAGTGTCCTCGCAGCCATACTCCTTCTAAATTCCTCAAAATTTGCGTCCTCGAAGCCATAAGCCATTGCACATTACGAAATATTTGCGTCACCGACGCCACGATTCGTTTGTAAATTATGCTGCTCTCGCGTCCCCGAGGCCGCGATCCCTAGAAACTTACGCGATGCTTGCGTCCCAGATCCACGATTGTCAACAAATTCGCAATGCAAACTGCCAGAATTCGAAAGATGCGGGCGAAGCCCTTACGGACAGTATACGCTCCCAATACCTCCCCATCCTCATTCCTTTCATCCTTGTGGATGCCATGGCAATGGACACTCTAAGAGCCCTATCAGTGGATTCAAAATGTGTTTATTTTTTAAAATATTTTAAACCATGTTTTGAACGCTTGTTGTGCGTGCTTCGAACCTTTAAAACATGTTCTATACATCTGGGAATTATTTGACAACATGCCTCCTCCCCATTGAACGTCTCCCACAATTTCATCCCCGCCGTTCCTGGAACCGCCTGCACGACGCGCACTGGTGCTTCGGGCCACAGGGCACGTCGAGGCTGAGAACGGGGTCGCGCGGCAAGAAGCGCCCGCAGAAATACTTGCCTCGGCGTGTCCACCCGCTGTCCCAAGATAAATTCGTCAACGTGCTCGAAATCTCAAAATAATCGTCACCCGGGTCCGTTCTTTTAAGGCGCCTTTTCGGAATCGGGGGGGTCCTGTTTGTTAGGGCGCTTTCCTTAAGTCGAAGACGAGAGGGGTCCGGAATAGGAGTGTCCCACTTTGACAAGGGGTCAAGAAAATTAAGCTGCCGTTGAAGGGGGGTCGGGTTTTTTAGGGGGGGTCGAGTTTTTTTAGGGGGGTGAGCCGCACCAAGGAGTTCAATCAATGTCCAACTCGACTGAGACGGGGACCCAGAGCCAACCCAAGAGGGGCGGTGCGTTGCTGAGGGGGGAAGGGGGGCTCAAAGCAGAACGCGGAAGAGAAGAATGCGCCGCTGCCAAGCCTTGGCGACCGCCACTGCCCTCTCCTGTCTGCACTGCTGGCTACCCAAGACTGGCCCAAGACGCATCTAAGACTTCGCAAGAGGGCCGCCAGAGCTCTAGATAGCACGAAGACTCCCGAGGATAGCCTGACGACTCCGAGTAGATTCTCAACAAGCTCCCAAAACGCACTCTGGCAGGCCCTGGGTACTCCAGATTTCGTAATAAAAGGGAGGGGGTCTGGACCCTCCAAGACAAGCCATTTCAGACCCCCCCCGTGGGAGAACCCTCCAAAACATCGTCCCCAGACCCCCCCAGGCCCTCCAGGATAGCCTGGAAGAGACCCCCCCCCGAAATGAGACCCCCTCCCTTTTACTACGAAATCTGGAGTAGTGGTTTGTAAAGGCTGGTTTGCCAGCCTGAGGCCCGACACGACCGCCAGCCGGTCTACCTCAAGGCCGCCCCTGACAGCACCCCTGCGGTCAAAGGCAACTCAAAGAAACCCCAAATATACAACGTAATACAAGTACATTCTGAAACGGCCCAATATTCTACTCATCGGTTGCGGCTGTGCTTCGCACCCCCGTGTGTTACGAAAAAGGGTACTGCACATCAAGCCGCCTAAGGATACTCTTACTGTACACATAGTATCGTGAATCACTTCCCTGACTTCTTTCTTCACCGTCGCATTGAGATCATCGCCCTCCTCTTTGCCTGCTCCCAACCTTCCTCCCGCTGAGAATGCGTATCTACCTCTTGCTAAATGTTCCCATCCTCCCCGCTCCACCTCTTGCTCCCCACACCATGGAGCTCTCGCTGCTGATGCTCCCTGACATGATTTAGAACGTGGCAGGTCGTATTCACGATTCGGAATGCAGTTTCCAGAATGGAACGCGTGCCACACGAGACCAGTCGGGCCTGTGGTGCCCCCGCGGTGCAAAATCTCTGGCTGCAGCGTGGAAAGATGTCCTTCCAAAGCTGTCCTTCCAAGCGAGCCGAAACATAGAACGACAACTAGCACGGGAACGATGCCACGATGTGATTAGCTCAAGATGCGCTCTTGGGATCCCCCTGTATCTGGCGACCCTCGTCTCTGGGGCAGGCGCGGGACGACAAGACCTGGAAATCTTATAATTCATCATCCTCATGACTTCTTACTCCTCCGAACAACATGTGCGGACCTTACAGGTTTGCCCAAGCCCCGCCGCTGATCGGTGCTGCTCCTTCGATCGCCTGGCCTCTGAGGGC